TTACTCAGAACATATTGGTGCAGTTTAATTGTTTAATTCAGAGACTTGTATATGAATAATAAAAATATTTACCATTATTCACACGTGATAATTTAAGCTCTGCCCATTCATCAGATCCATCACAGCAGTCACAATATCCATCGTTAACTTTGTAAGATGGTATTTTCCCTGGAGTTCATTTGAATGTGTTGTGAAAGTGAAAAACAGAAATGTATATAATAAAACATGATTAAGTAAGCACCTGTCATTTTCGTGGATGAAATTCTGCAATTGAAAACACCATTGTTACATGCGTTGGTACCAGGTTCATCACTACCATCCGCAGGGCAGTCACAATAATTGTCATTGATTTTCGAAAAGTCTATTTCATCGTTCGACGAGAAACAGACGAATTTCCCTCGCGCATTCGGTAAATACTTCGAGAAATCTTTATCGCTGACTCCACGCAAAGACACAGTTCGAGCTTCCTTATAATTAGGCGTCCGTACAGAACCACTAATTAATTTTCCTACGTTCACCTGGTTCATTATTTTGAAGTACAATAATTGATTAGCGACGAAGATGATCGTTGTTAAAAACAGACAAATTAGACAATATTTCAAGCTTCTTCGCCGAAATATTCGTTCTGTCCTACGTAACCACACAAAGACATTCTGCTTTCTAAAATTACTCATGATATTGCTGTTTTGTTTTTCATTTGTTAAATATCTGTCACAGCAAGGCTACACTACACAAAATACACTTTTTTCTGTTAGTAAAGGGGCACATTGTCGTGTTACGTTTTCATTTACACTCGTAACTCGCAACAATCGCAACTATCGCAAATGATCGCAAGGCAACAGTGTTTGGGTGTTCGCCAGTGTTGTGTTGTTGATGTCAGTTGATGTTGGGCACAGGGATGCCAAAATGTAGGATTTCTCCTCTTCCCGAGCTGTCCCCCACTACTTTTTTTTGCCCCCACTTACGTTACCCATGATCATTGGGGACATGTCTAATAATGCCATGTATATGTATAAGTGGGGAGAGCAGAGCACATTGAGCATACAGCAGCATATAGTAGTGGGGAGAGCTCGGGAAGAGGAGAAATCCTACATTCTGGCATCCCTGGTTGGGCATCGTGGGATCCCTTTAGGCATGCGCATTGCGCACTACAAGTCATTAGTAGCCATTGAGTTATATAAAATATCTAGAGTGTGCGCGGCTGTCAAAAGTCGTAAGATAGAAGAGTAGCGATGATGCTCCAAGAAGTGAGAAGCTATGGGGGATCTCTGTCCTTGTTTTTATATTCTCTCTCTCTATTTGTATCATCTTGTAGTAAATTTAACTATGGTGGGGATAGAAGTTCAGTATTCTATCGAATCACTTGAATTTATAACATTGTCAATCACTCGACATACATATACGCGTCCGAGTTCAGGTTCAGAAAACATGCATTATACACCTAAAAAGAGAAAGAGATTCCTTCACGGTTCCTCTTTGTCGGCGAACGTACCCCCCATTCGTTCACACTCCAGATGTTTTATATAGCTCAATGTTAGTAGCAGAGAGAAACTGAAATAGCTCAGTTCGGGGTTTTCGCATCCCCCATACTAGTGCTGCACCTTGTGACCAACTCGGGAAAGGGGTCTACCGCAGGGCTGGGATAATTTTTCCCGCACGGCTCGCTTCCCCTATTTTTCGCCCGTATTTCGATCCCCACTACTATTCCCCTCATGCGCCTTCGCTGACCATGCCTAGCATACCAGCAAGTACCAGTCCCCACCATGGTCGCGTCGTCCCCACTTTCCGGTCGAGGGAAAAATTATCCCAGCCCTGGTCCACCGTAGCATATTCCACGTTCCACAGCAGAGATCTGCCTTGTTCGGTTCCACCGTAGCATACACACAGTGTAGCCAGTATCACAGACGAGATATATAAGTAGATATATATCAAAGGGAAGAGGAGTCGTTCGTCCGAGCGGTAGCCGCGGTAGCCGTGAGCCGTGATCCGCGATAGCTTGGACTCCGTGCTTGATCTGGATGGAGA